TTAACTATGTAACTGTACATAATTTATATGAAAGTGCCTTGACCAGTAATAAGTGATCCCCGGGAAGTGATCACCCTGATAGGATGCCCAAGAAGGTTCATATTTAAAATAAGTCACTTTTAGCATTTACATAGTCCATGGTATGACTTCCGAATATGAAGAATTCGTAGCACACTATATAGTCCATGGAATGAAATCTCTACGACGTCTAATAAAGGAGCTGGTAGCACACTACAGCGCAGCGATATTTGACCTAACATTAACATACCTACATATTTTACTTAATCATTTTTATTATAACTGTTTAATATAGGCTTTTAGGCTGAATTATGCCTGTCATTAGCAGAGGCCAACAAATTACAAAAAACTAAAATCCCAATTTTTCACAATTTGGAGTACACAATAATACAAAATGATTTTAAATATATGATTTAGGTTTCTAAGCTATAAGTTTGAGGTTCTTTTTCTTATCAATACAAAAAGATACATTATGATAATCTATTTTTGTCACTATGCTTAAAATAACGGTCCGTGTCTTATAAAATATATAAAAGTTCGAATCAAAATATTTACGTTTTTTTACCCCTTGTGATGGAAGACAATTTTATTCTGCTGTAAACATTAACCATAAAGGGTGGTATATTGCTCTTCCTTGACTAATTGCGACTTCAGCTAAAATTGTATTTCTCGTAGTTAGAAATTCTCAGATGCCTATAAAACAACCATCAAGACTTGGTCGAATTCATAAATGATTGAGAAAAATCGTTATCATTATCTTCCTAAGATTCGATTTTATCCAGCGGTAAGGTCAAAGTTGAGGAAGAATTGTAAGGCGTTCGATTGTATATGAAGTATATATATGAGGTATTGAGACCCATTTTATGAAAAACTAGCATAATTCAAGCATTTGTCATTCTTATTTAAAAGTGATCATTTGTAGCATTTATCTCATTAATAGCTGAGAAACAATACAAAACGTCGATACACTGATTAAATAATGTTTTTGGTATTGATAAGAAAAATAACCTCAAACTTATAGCTTAGAAACCTAAATCATATATGTAAAATCATTTTGTATTATTTTCTGTTGGATTGTGTACTCCAAATTGTGAAAAATTGGGATTTTGGTTTTTGGTACTTTTTGGACCTTTGCTAATGACAGGAATAATTCAGCCTAAAAGCTTGAAGTATATTAAACGGTTATAATAAGAATTATTCGGGAACATATGTAGGTATGTTAATGTTAGGTCTGCGCTATAGTGTGCTACCAGCATCTTTATTAGTCTATTAGACTCCTAGAGATTTCATACCATGGACTACTATATATATATATATTCAAATTTCACCAGCGTTTCATATTCAAATTTCACCAGAGTTTCTTCAACCAGTGTGTTGTATCCCATTTTGTGCTGTCATATTTGTGTCCATCGCCCCATTTTGTTTGTTAAGATAATGAAAAGGTCTTTAAGTTCATATGCCGAAATTATTTGTCCAACAATTTGAATTATGACCCTAATAAGTGGCCTATACATAAATACAATGCTGAATATAGGTTAACAAGATACTAGTGTGGGTATCCGGACAACTCATCCCGTGGACAACTCATCCCCTAGACAACTCATCCCCTGGACGTCTCATCCGTTGGCATGTTTGAGTAATTTAATGTTATATTATTCAAATTAGTTGTCCAGGGGACGAGTTGTCTAGGGGATGACTTGTCCGGTTACCTACTGAGAATCGTTTGTGATAAAATTATGTGAGAATTCGGCCTACAATGCTTGAAATAAAGAAAAAGTAAAAAATCGTGCCTTCAAGGACATTTTGTTACCGAAGCGATCCGATTTGGTGAAAAACATAATCGAGTGAACTACAAGTGATGAACAAAGAACTTTTTGAGGAGAAATCTTAAAAATTGTTTTAAAATAATTATCTTATCAAGGAGATAATCAACCAATTAATCTATAATTTGTTTTGTAAATATTTCCCTTTAATCTTACTTTTAATACACAACTTCTATATTATATTAACTTTGATTGTAGAAGCTCCTTTGATATCATAATATGTAATATGTTTGTTCATAGTTCAAATATTCTTGAATTCAAAGATTAGTTTTTTTCACAGCATTCACATATGAAGTTCATGTTTCAAAGTTATGCAGAAAGAAAACCTTATTTTTTGTAATGAAATATTGAGTCATGTAATATATGGACAAGAGTTGAAGGTTAAATCAAACCATCATCCAAAGCACTACCAGCTCTTGAGTTCAGTTATCTTGATCATGTTGATGTTAAAAATGTTTAAAGTCCCCGTCTAAAGTTTGAAAATATTTTTTTATCATTCATTTACTATTTGTCAGGACTTAAAAAGTGATTTTTAGAGATTTTTGAACAAAATATTTTTTTGGAAAAAAAGTCGTGAGTATTTCATTTCTCAAATATTCAAATTTCCCGCCATTTTTCAAAAAAAGTTGAAATTTCTTAATCATCAAATATTTCTTAATGCATTTCAAAAAAGATTATATTTTTAACACCAATGCAAAGATTGAACAAAAGACACACTATTTCAATAATAAAATGTCATATTTAATGGGCCACTTCAATGTTTTAGCTTATCAAAAATATTTTGAAACATTAGTGATGTCACTAAGGTAACAAAAACTTTTTGAAAAAAAATGAATTTTTTTTTCGATGTCAGTCTTTTCTAAATATGCTAGACTTTCATAAAAAGCCAATGTTGATTGTCTAACCAGGTTAAAAGGAAGAATAAATTATGTTTTAGATATCATTGTACCATTGGTTTCTATGAGAACTAAAAATTTTAAATGCATTTTTCTCAGAACCATTTTCATGCACTGATAAGTTCATTTCTCGCTTGTTTATCAACCGATTTTTTCAATTTCTTCGGCAAAAAACATGGGAGGATGTATGCTATGCATTGGTATGAATTGTGGCTAATTAGAAGATATGAGTGACCTCTAAAAGTTGGTTTTAAATAAATTCACAAATTTTGGAACAAAAAGTCTATCAAAAACCACTTTTTGAAATTAAAAAAAAAAGTTTCACATATCACACTTTGATAACATTGGGTAAGACTACAATATAAGCCAAAGTGGTTTAAACTTTACATGGGGCCTTTAATGCTTACACATCACTATGTTGATTAATTGCCAAGGTGTTGATTGAAACACAACTGATATCATAACAAACCAAATCACAATGGTGCCAGAAACAACGACAATAAATCAATATATACAATCCTATATTAATTTAACCCTACTTTTCCAAGCTGAACACAAATAGATATGATCATAGTTAATAATTAAATAAGGCCATTTGCAACTTTGTCACAGTATGAAGTAGAGCGATTACTCTCGTCTATTTTAACCCTAATGTGTACAACGTATTTTTCATAACACTAATGGACAGGGGGGGGGGGTCGGATGGCGTTTCAAAAGTTGAAGAGGTACAGTAAAAAGTAAGGTACCATATTGTAGGTCATTCAAAACTCTCAAGGGGGGGGGGGGTGTATTAAAATCTCAAAAAAAGTAGGTCAAATGGGGTCAAAGTAGCATAGGGGTGAGCTTTTTTCGCGTATTTTTTACTTTTTTCCGTCAAAACATCAAACAATGCTTTTTAGCTAGAAAAGATGATAGATGTATATAGTATCTACCTTTTTAGGACAAAAAAACTTGGGTAAGTACCTTTCCTAGATCCAGAGATAGGTGATTTGGTCGAAAATTTGATGAAATGAAATATCGAAAAATGGGGGAGTGGGAGACAAATCACAGCCCAGGACCTAAGATACTGAATAGATTAACATTTTTTTTAAAATAACTTTGGATATTGATTGAGTATTAGCCGAGAAATTTTGTTTTTAGTGCATCTCGGCTAGCGAAACGGCAATCTTACGCGTTAAAAATAAGTGTATTTGAGCCAAAAGTTGCAGCATTGACATATTTTATAGAAGCTATATGTTTCTACTGGTACATAATCAAAATATTACATAGAATTACATGTTTGGCTCTATATTTACTGATTTATGAAAACTATTTTAAAATAAATAACGCCACTTGAGATGACAGAAAAAAAAATTCTCAAAAACTAGAACTTAAAATACAATTTACTCTTACCCACTTGTTTGATACATTGTTCAGATAATTGTGTAATATTTTAATGCATGTATATATTTGTAAATTATATGCATATTAAGATGGAAAAATGACTAAAAAAGCCACGAGACGGAAAAATCTTTAAAAAAAATATTTCTAAGAAACAAATTGAGATATGGTTATATGGTTTTGCAGACATCTTACAAACATGTTCAGGACCTCCCAGATAAATTTCATGGATATATTATTATTATTATGAGCTTTATTATATTTGTATCCCACATTTGGGCAAAGTGTACAGCTTAAACAGAAAAAAATAAAAAAGCTTAACTAATTATCTATATAGTATATTAACTATATTAAGTAATATGATTACCAGTTTTTGAAAAAACATTTTTTTACAATTTTTACAACTATTTGGATCGAAACGCGAGTCATGGACCACAATATTATATTGTAAACTTCGTATCTCAGTCAATAAAAGTCAGATTACCTTGTTATATGGCTTGTTTGAAAGGGTATTTAGTATACTATATGATCCATATCCAAAGGAAAGTAAAAGTGACCAGCTTTTATTTTTTATATTTTTATAGAAATGGTGTGATTTTCAAGAAATTTCTGAAAAAAATCCCAAGTTCCCACCATCCCAACTCAACCAAATTATCCCTGATCACCTCGATTTTTGCACCTCAATTTTTGGGTCATCCGACCCCCCCCCCTCTACCCCCCCCCCTACACACCTACCCCCCCCCCCCTATCTCCCCCACCCAGTTCACATTAGGGTTAATGTGCGGAAACGAAAAGTGACATATATACTTTTTATCCATACGTAAAATACTGACGAAAGCCCATTCGTAATATAGTGACGAATCACTTGATGAGACCAGGCTGAAAACAAGATGCAAGACAGGAGGTACCGAATAGGAGCAATTGTTGGTTTTTTCATTTTAGTTGGTTTTGCACTCGTCTACATGCACAAAGGATCATCAATGCAAACCGATGTACTAAAACTACATCAGGAACAAGATACACATGACCAGGATAAATCATCACAGATCCGAAAAACCCAAACCCATGTGAATTACGGAGATGAAAAATTCACCAATCTTTTTCACTCTCTTCAGCATAGCAATACAAGAAAGGGTATATCCACCAATTGTATAACAGGTGCAACAATGAGGACATTTAATCCAGATTTCAAGACTGTTTTACATAAAGACACACATGATGCTATCGCTCCAGAAATGGATGTGAAAAGAAAAGATGCATTCGTACACATATTCAAGAAACACAAGTGGGGAAGAGGGGACGGCACAAGTGACTTACAGGTGTCAGGTAAGCAGGTGGTTACTATTCACAGCAAAAAATGTGTACGAATACAACGAATCCTGACGTCAGGATACATACAGGATATGCACCCAGTGTGCCAAACCTGTATGAATCCTGATGCCTGGATACATACAGGATTGGCACCGAATGTACATATCCTGTACATATACTGTGTCAGGATTTATACAGGATTGGCGCGTGTAGAAATCCAGTATGAATCCTGCATCTGGATTCATACAGGATACGCTCGCAGTGTGCCAATCCTGTATGAATCCTGATGCCTGGATATATACAGGATTGGCACACAATGTACATATCCTGTACATATCCTGTGTCAGGATTTATGCAGAATTGGCACGTGTAGGAATCCTGTATGAATCCTGCATCTGGATTCATACAGGATACGCTCGCAGTGTGCCAATCCTGTATGAATCCTGATGCCTGGATACATACAGGATTGGCACACAATGTACATATCCTGTATGTATCCTGTGTCAGGATTTATACAGGATTTGCGAATGTAGGAATCCAGTATAAATCCTGCTCCTGGATTCATACAGGATACGCTCGCAGTGTGCCAATCCTGTATGAATCCTGATGCCTGGATACATACAGGATTGGCACACAATGTACATATCCTATACGTATCCACGCGTCAGGATTTATACAGGATTGGAGCAGGTAGAAATCCAGTATGAATCCTCCCTCCTGGATTCATACAGGATACGCTCGCAGTGTGCCAATCCTGTATGAATCCTGACGCCTGGATACATTCAGGATTGACACACTGTGTGCATATCCCGGATTACATATCCTGCACATAATTTACAAATTATTGATTGCTATTGTTACTAACATTTATTACAAAATTCTTTAAAAAATCCATGTTAAGATAAAAAAAACAATATTTCAATTTTTTCAATCAAACAAATAATATACTTTCAAAAGTACCTGTACTAGTATCCAAAAGTGAATTTCATTAAATTAAGAATGAACATTTTGCCATTATTCACAATTATTTTTTCCCTGGACTATTGTGATTTGATATTTGATGCTTAAGAAGCTATTAAGAAGACAAATGGTATATAAATAGCAATATGACATACTTTTAAAGAGCCTAATGTCTGCAACCTTTTTATAACAGACTTTCAATTAAAAGCCCATTATAACACATAGTCGCAATGGTGGAGGGATTTGGATATTTGGAATTCCCCCGGCAATTTATTATTACTTATCTGTTTTCAATATTGTTGGTATTTTGTAACCATTTAATATTCAATTAGCGCTCCAAAAAGTATTGTTTTCAAAAGGTAGGTCAAAAGGGTCAAATCGAGGTCAACATGACATTTTGTGATAAATTGTTAATGTGCGAAAGTACGAAATACGTAGTACAGGTATCAATGTTCTACGAATCTAGATTTTATATCACTTGAAACAATGCATAGCCCTTGGTGAGAGGGGGGGGGGGATTACAGACATCTAACATAGCGTTTTAGTTATGTATAATCATTAATCAAAACAAATAATACCAATTAGTCCACCTTTCTGATTACATTTTGTCCATGTATTTCTGGACTTATTTACTTATGATTTAGCCAATATGATACAACAACAAATTAACTTCACTTGCGTCAGCCCTTCATCTCCATGTAATTGTATTCATGTTCGATGGGGAATAAGAATTTGTTTACCCGGCACCCCTGATCATTATCAAGCGCCTTCTAGATATCAGGCCCGTCACAGGCACATATCCAGGGGGGTTCGATCGGTTCGATTTACCCCCCCCCCTCCCCCGGCAAAAAATCATTCAAAAGAATGCGGTTTTCACCATTTTGAACACTTTTTAAGTGATTTCGGCCATTTTTATACCGGCACAAGTAAACCCCCCTTGGAATTTTTCAAGAAGTGAACCTCACATGGCAAATCCTAGCTACGGGCCTGCGTCATACTGCATGGCTAAAACTCAGGGCTTTCGCTAGAGAGGCGTGCCTCAGAATACCCATGACCCGGAGGTTAACTTAAAAGTAACGCAAGGTAGATAAAACTGTATTTAGTCAAAATAATGTACATGTACAGTATATGGTATCCAAACCCCTAAACTGCACGGCTTCTCGCCAGGCATTTTGTCATCGCTCTACCACTCCGTCGCCACCATAATTTCTCACGATTTGAACTGTCATATGATATTATAATATTGAGTTTATTATTTTGCGATTATTGATGAAGCTTTATCGGGGATAGAGAATTCCTTATACATGGTTATCATTTACTCTGGAGTTCAGATGATAAAAGAGGCAACAGATGAACTCTCTTGCTAAAACTATTGAAAGGATAATTGCTATTGTTATAATTGCTATTACAAGTGAAAATTCAAATTCACTAATGATGATTGATAATTTAGCTACAAGCCATGAGTGTGTGTATTTTGGCTGAAATAGAGGCGGGGGGATAGTCTAGAGGCAAGATTTTTTGATTCCATATACCGTACTTGTTTTCAGGCATCATACTATTTCCATGAGTGAGTGTCAGATTTTAAGACCCATTTCCTTCTTTTCCTTCCCATGCGAATTTCAAATACAATTTGCAAATGCATCCTAAAATCTGATTATGTTAATGCTCATCCCCCCTCCTCCCATACTCGTTTCCCAGTTTGATTTTGTCGTCGACTGGTGCCTAGATGCATTTGCAGACGCAACGCACATTTCAGGGCGCACATTTCAGGTTCTATGTCATTTATGAAAAAATTGAATTGAAAGGCATCACATGGAGTGGAGGGGGGGGGTGAGTTATCATGATCAGAGTTGGGGCTAATACTTGTGTAATAATTGTAATAAGATATGTCTGAAAACAAATATATAATATATATTGTATATGTTATGATATCAAAGCAAATTGGATTATTTATACATGTCGTCTAGTTCGGATGTTATTTTAACAAATACAGCAACCAGACGGCGTATTCGCAATGTAACTTATCAGTTATCAGATTTGTAAAGCCATGGGAAAATGAAATCTGAAATAAAGATGCTTTTCTAGCATCTTGACTCAGTGTAAATTATATTTTGAAAATCGTTTTGACTCATATACTTTAAGTGTACATACTAAATGGCGACAATGACATACATATGCATCACGCGAGGATGGATGATGACCATGTACTTTACATCTGCACGTTGTCAATATCTATATCGCCGGTTGATGTCTCATGTTCCCAAAATAATTATAGTAATAATGTTCAAAAACAGAATATGATGTGTATTGTTGTCTTGCATCACTATATGAGTAATAATTTGATTAGAAACCCGGGATTAGAAAAACTCTCCGAATCTGAATCATATATTTGAAATCGAAAAATACAATGCCCCGGGTACAATGCCCCGTGTATTTACCATTTACTCTCAATCCTGATTACTATCAATGTCTCCAGTGAGTTTGCTTCTGTGTGCCTCTCCAAGTAACAAATCTAAATGCATATTCTACACATATCGCCCAATGTGGGCCCGGGACTTGAAAAACAGACGAAGACCTCGTGTGCAAGGGGGGGGGGGGGGCTATAATGTAGCAACTTTTGGTTTTGTCAAATAGCTGAAATAGTTTATCACAAATATTAATTAAATACGCAAATAGAGGCAGGTTTAAGAAATGAGACTAGAGGCAAAGAATAATTATAATCATAAAATCTAAAGTAATTCCTCGATGATCTCTTCTGTAATCAAGGCGGTAGTACACTTCCGCAGTTATAAAAACAAAGACATAAACTAAGTAATTAATCTTTTGTTATCATTTAATATTAGTTACTTACAGCATTAATTTGTCTTGGATTTCCAAAGTATGATGTTTTGATTGAAAATCAAACTGGGAAACGAGTATGCTCCTTACAGCTGTGTATATCAAATCCTGTGAAAAGAATCAATTCAAACTCACCCCCCACCCATCTAGTGTCTCTTAATTACAATTATTTCGCAAATGAAACAACCCAAAAACGTTGATATGTCAACATATTTTTGCAGAACTGAGCGAAACGAAAGGTGGAATGCACAAAAGGCAACAGTTGAAGTTTTATTTTCCCAATAGACTAGATGCAAAGAAATACATGTGATCTTGATTTACATCCAAAATCCAAAATTGAGATCATATTTCATATTCTTATTTACATTAATAGTTTCATGTAGTGTCAAATATTTAAACCCTGGGCTTTTAAACATTTTGCATATTCGTCATCAAATCTGATCATATATGTACCCCCCCCCCCCCCATCTGCAATCATGATAGAAATCTTCCAAGTAATCAATCAACTAGCCCAGCAACGAACCACACAAGTAATCAACAAAGCAAGCAAGCAAGCAAACGACCATCCAAGCAGAAAACTAAGTAAGCAAACAACAAACCATGCAACTAATCAACAAAGCCACCGACCAATTAAGGAAGAAAGCTACTCATCAAGCAGAAAACAAAGCATTCGACAAACCAAGCAACCAAACAACAAAGCAACCAACCAAGCAACTAATTGATCCGGTCTCGTTTGCTGTTTATGTCTTGCAAATAATGCCCCTCTGCTGCTACAGTTGGTCAATGATATCAACTGCACACATTTGATTGATTTAATGCAACTTCCAAGTTCCAAATGAAGCACGAAGGTTGACATTTGAGAACATAACTGATACCAAAAGGATGCGTGAAGACAAAGCTACATTTTCTAATTCTATATGCTCTTACTGGGTAATACTTTTCAGGGTTACTTAAAGAGAGAATATCAGATCTACCGAGCAAGCCAAAACGTTTCAATATGTCTGGCTTATATCACTCATTACCATGTCTAAAATTCTCCAAAGTATCTTTATATGCAATACATAATATACCCTACAACCAAGCTCCGCATTCCAGCACTCGGATAGTTGGTTGATTGACAATATTGACTTACACGATATGTAATGGCTAAACTGAAGTGACGATCAACTCCCCTATCCCAGGTGCCCAAAATGTACTAGATCCATGGGCATTCGATA